TCCCTAATTCAATATGATCCAATTCGGTACCCATATTTGAAAACCAACATGGCCACCCAAGCATTTATGAACTTAATAAAACCTCTACAGTCTCAACTGAGAACGTAAACCCTCTGTCATTCGATCATGTGTGCACTTACATTTAATTCAAAAGGATCACGAAGTTTCATTTCAATACGTTAAATACGAACATTTCAAATAGTTATGCGAACCACACATCAAAACCCTTAGCAGGGTTCCAAAACAGCGCAAACAACTCAAACATAAATCAAATAACATTTTAAACAATATAAATAACATAATTGATAAGTGTAGAAAGAGCTTGAAAAATTTTGCCCGTTTCGAAATTGAAAAACTCTACCTTAATCTTGTGCCAATTTGAAACTGTCAAACATATAAACATAACAATTTTTAGTAATATTTTAGGAATAAAATCAATTTATCTCACTAAATTTATTTTTATAGTTAGAGCTAAGGACAAAATGGTCATTTTATGCAATTTTGCCCAAAGTGTCAAATCGCAAGACGGCGACCATTTTTAGAATCCTTATGAAAAATTAGTTTGGGCACCATTAGATCTCCAAAAATCACACGACAAGCCTCCGTCGAAAATTTTGACCACTATTCATCATCTTCTTCCTTGTGGCCATTGACCAAAATTCTAAGTTCCCAAAATTCTGTTCAACCATGGTTCTCACACCTCAGTACACCTTTTTCACTCATTTCAAGACCTAGCTACACTTTGCATAACTTAGTTTCCAACCCAATTGGTCTCACCCTTCGAATCTAACTTTAACCCCATCAAAATTATGGTTGAAGTTGACAAAAACTCACTTTTTTACACACAAGGGCAGACTGTTTCATCCCCAAATCACCTCCAAATCCAATTCTGAGGTTGAAAATGAGTTCCTAAGGTCCAAATTAGACCCAAGTCCCCTTTCGGCCAACCTCCAAACCACTTCTAAGCTACTCCAAATCCACCCAAGAACAACTCTATATAATTTAATTGAAGCTTAGAACACCCTAGCTATGAAACCCGTTTCAGGAAATCCAAAACCCATCAACTTCAAAACACAAATTCGTGGAGTTAAATTAGCACAAATCAGATTCTAACTATACTAGGAGATTCAGCAGAACAAAATAAAGCTTGTAGTATATCTTTAGATGTTCGAAGCTGCCTCCTAAGGAATTCAAAATTTTCAAAGTGTTTTCCTCTATCTCTCTCTCCAACGATTTTTCTGCCCTTTTAAACCACTCATGATGCTGAGTAATCCCTTCCAAGCACCTCTGCGGAGGTCATGCAGACCTCGGAAGCCTCCTCTTGCCACCTACCTCCATGGATGAAGCTTGAAGCTTCTTGGACATTTTGGTCTTTTCCCCTATTTTGACCAATTTCCAAAAATTATTTAAAAATATATGTATATATTTTTCAAAATTTCAATCATGTTAAATAATTAGCTATAAAAATTCTAATTAATTTATTCGGACCTAAGTTGGCCTTCAATTTAACCGAAAAAAATCGTCCGAACCCCTATCTTTTTGGTACGCTCTAACCCTACTTTGTCCAATTTGTTTTCTCTCCACCACTCATGTTCCTTCATTATATACTAACCCTAATCATCTCTAGAACATCTACGCAACCTCTCTGAAACTATGAATTCCTAATCCGACTCTCTGAACTTTGAACCCCCGGGCACTCACGCACTCTTCTCAAATTACCGAACTTTGGGTTGTTACTTGTTACAGGTTTGCCTCTCTAGTCATGCCCTTAGAAACTAGGAGAAGCAAAAGCTTGACCTTATTGGCTAAAGAAGGCTGTCAAAAATCCAAAAGAATGATGGGTTAATGTTGGAATTTGACCCAAACTCTCTAATTGTTACGAAGAAGAGTTTGTTGGGTAATCAATATGAGAATCCTATATATAATATGATTATATTTGAAGAGTTAATATATTATGGATAAATATATTAGACATGTGATAGGAAACATAAAGATCAAGTTGTATTTGAATAGGATTGGGTTACAATATTTTATCCCTATAAATATGGTTGAGTATTATGTAATCAGTTACCAGATGACTAAATTTCAGATTTCAGTGAATAATATATCAATGTTGATTCTTAGTCCGTAGATGTAGGTACGATGTACCAAGTTGGTATGCTATATCGAACCACGTTATATCTTTGTGTCATGTTTTTATTGTTTTCTTAAATTTGAATTCCTATCTTCCAACAGTATTATTTGTGTTAATTATTCACTGTGCAAAATCAACAGTTAAAATACTAAAAGGGTTATACTTTCCTTCAATAGAATTAGGGCAAACCAACCAAAGTTGGTAATAAGGACGAGTTATAAATGCAAACGTTCAGATCTTGGTAACTTCTTGGGTCAGAACATGAGTGATTTATCTCTCATAAATTTTCTAGTTCTAGCGTAGATGAACTATTTTTGACCGGATTGGAGAGGAGATTAGTCGAGGTACGCATAAACAGACTCAAACACACCCTCATCGATGAACCAAAAAAAAAAAAAAAGGTATCTAAAAGACAACCAGAGCTTCTAAATTGAAAGCTCATTTTATTCGTAAGTCAGGGTCGAGCCATTACATGCCTTAGTGGCTAATGAACTTCAAGCATGGATTGGTTTCTTTGAAAGAGATCTTCTAAATATAGTGAATGTTTAGGGATTCTCACATGGTTCAAACACAGAATGTTTACATCTGTTATGACTCTTCCACCTTCTTTAACCACAAACTATTTCAAACATAGAAAGTGCCTTTCGAATCCATTATTTTATGGGATTCTCAAATGGTATAAGTTTGTCGGTCCTCTTCTTTTTTTTTTTTCTTATTGATTGTATGATCTCCCTTCCCCATAAAAATTGATCATAGAATGAGGTAGTGAAAAAAAAAATTTACACTATTTTCTGCCTCATCAATCTATTTAAGCTTTCTTTACCTAAAAAAACATAAAATTATGAAATGACAAAAGATTTACATGGAATTGCAGCTGAAATCAGACATAGTCGCATACCCTAACACTGCCACAGACATAATCAAATAGCAGCCTCCCCAGTCAAGTGTTGGATGTGTAGTCTACTACATATTTGAAGAAATGGTTTGATCCATATCCAAGGGCGCATTTCCCTCCCCCCCCCCCCCCCCCCCCCAACCCCCAACTTTTTGTATTCCCTTACATATGTACTAATATGAGATTTTATTTTGGTTTAATTGAATACATTTGTCCCCTCTTACTCTTTTCAAAATTAGTATATTGGTCTAGTTCGTTTTTATTTTCCGGAAACTTATGATCCACTAACCTCCAAAAGCAAATATTTTTGTATTTAAATTGATTAAAACACATTTCAAATGTTCTAACTTGTATAAATGTTGGTGGAAAATAATACCTATCTCATATTTTTTAAAACAATTATATAGTTGCCTCTGGTTATTTTTTAAAAAGTTTGTAGTAAATTATCCCAAAAGCATTTTTTTTGCTATTTTAAATAATTGGTTTTTCAGCAAGATGAATTTTGAGCACAATTTGAAGATTTGAAAAAAACAGTGTGCTCCATTTTTATATACTAGATCGTGCATACATGCTTTGCACGTGGACTTTTTAAGATATGATTTTGTTTTTGAAATAATTAAATAAATATAATAGCAAATACCTACTTATAAATCTAACCTTTTGAATATTTCTATTATATAATTTGTGTAATTTGTTATGGACATAACACTACATGTTTGCAGAACGAATGAATATTAGTTTTTATTTTTTATTTTTTTGCTCTTAAGTTTGGTGAATTACCTTCTTGTAAATTTCTACCCTTAAAGTTTATAAATTATCACATGAAGTTAATTATTTAGATTAATTTTATTTGCAACATCATAGTAATGGTATAAATATATTTCATAGTATGTGGGTATATATAACTAAAAAGTATCACATACACTTATTAAATTATGAAAAAAACAGAAATAAACTATTTTAAATTATGGTGGTCATTTAATTATAAACAATTGGTTGAGCAAATTTAAAAGTTAAGTTGTGATAAGTAATTTAGTGTAATATTGAACATATTCGTAGCATTGCTAATCTATATAAATAAAATATTTTCTAGTATTACCAATAAACATAACTAAAGTGAATTTATTAAAACTAAAACATAAAAGAGAAGAAAATAAAAAGTAAGGGTTTGATAATATTATCCAAATTATATTGAAATAAATCTTATATTAAATAAGACTCTAGTGTATTTATGCAATTTCATTTGAAAATTCACAAACTTTTCATCAATTAATGAGATAGAAATAAATAATAGTAAATTTAATTATTTTAACAATTCATTTTTATCTTTTAAAAGAAAGAATATGAAAGGCTTGAATATGTGCAATATTAATGAAGTTTTATTAATATATAAATTCCATATTAATAATGTTAGTATTGTGAGAGTCAAGTTGTCCAATTAAAAGTTTAACATCAATCTAGTCTTATTAATATGAGTTTTAAATTAAATAAGGATATTATTGTCTTTATATATTATTTTAGGGTTAAAGTAGTTAATCAAAAGTTTTTCTTAATAATATACTTTCATTAGTAGTATAGATGAATATATTCGGCTGATAAGTACCAAGAAAATTTGAATGAATTTGTTGTTCATGTTTGTTTAGACTAAATAAAAACTAATTTTACTATATCATATCTTAATTTAGTCTTAAATATTAACATATGTTATCCCTCTTAAAATGGATTTTTACTTATATTCTCTGGCCCATCTATCTAACAGAATTCTGGCTCCTGCTCTGTCCATAAAAGCTACAAATTATCTAACAGAAACCTTTCCATAAGTTCAAACTGTTCATTGTACAGTCAAGTTCTGCAAACAAAAGAGAAACCTGATAAAAACAGTTTAACCTTGCACATCATGAGGTTACTACATGCATTACGTTGAGTTAAGTTCTCCACCATCAGGTCATTCTTCGAATTGGAGCACTGCAGCTAACCCATATGAGTTAAATAAGTTCTCAATGTGGTCTGTAACATATTGGATGCCTGAACATACCTGTCCATGTGATCCACTGCTGAATCCCCTGAAGAAGAAAAAAAAAAAACTAGAATATTGAAAAATAGTATCATAATCAAACTCATCCAAAAACACTACAAACATTAATATATGTGAATTCAGTATTTTGGTGCAAGCAAATTTAGGAGTAGAAAATAGATTTGCAAGTAACTGTTCATTATACATATTACATACAATCAAGTTAATAAGGTCCAGTTTTAAGCACGCAACTTAACATTCGTAATTTGGTATGTCAACCAAATAACCAACTAAGCAACATGAAAAATCATATATATAATTTTGACAGTTGGTGGCACGAAGTCAATAACAGCGTAGCTCGACAGAAAAAATGTGGCGCCGGTGTGGGCTGTTTATATTACATAAAAACTTACAAAATATTGCAACATGTATTCAATTCAAGCGACTGTGGCAGCAAGTTATGGTGCAGTATCCACTTACAAGTTTCCCCTAGTTGTTCCAAGAGTTTTTCCATTGTAGGAAGGTCTTCCACCATTGTGAACAGATGGACAAATCTATTAGCAATATAGCTATGGTATGGAGCAAGAATGTTGTCATATGCCACGTTAACTGGACCAGTTAGGGAATCTTCCCTGCAAATGAAATCTAGGTGTTGTTAAAACTTGTTAGATTATTCTAACAATAGTATATCTGGAAGGAAGAATAAAGTTCACTGAAAACTGGAAAACTAGAAAATTATTTATGGAAGAAAATTTTGATCTATATCATTGAATTATGCTTCTCAAAATGACAATGCAACCCCAAGAATTATATAAGAACCTACGGTAAGTGGTTGACCTACTGATTATAAAAGTCACTTTTACTTATTTATTAGCAACTACAACTTCTTTCAAAAAGTGATAGGACAAAATCTTGATAAAAGATTAAAATGTTACTAGCATATGTAATGGTAGCCTTAGCTGAATATTAAGGTCCATTTGTACCTCTTGACGTTTCGGTTTCGTTCAAATTGATGAAAAAAGCTTTTGATGTTAGAAGATTTTTCATGCCGAATATGCAAAGTGCGTAGTCCTCATATCTCTCAGTTCTTTTCGACAGACAACTAATATACCATTCTAATTACTGCATTGTTAGCTAGAAAAGAGAGGGCTATTGTACTGCACAGCAAACAACTCGCCCAAGCTGAGCATAAAACCAAGAGGCATACCTCAGTGGTTTACAATGGTCCAAAATCAGCTATTGTCTCACATTTTTCCTTTAGTTAATAATTTTGGGCGTTGCCTTGAAAAGTCCATTTAGTGAGTGAGGTGTTCAGAGTTTATGGCCTAAAATATTAAATCAGGCATGACTCCTGAGAACACAGAGTTCCTAAAATCAAATGATTTTGTACCTATTATTGCTACGAATTCACAAACATAGATATATAAAATGAAATTTTTCTAAGTTACCTATTATTCTTTAGAATTTGCTCAAATATTACCCTGAGCATGGCGATTGAACGCTTCACTCTCACAAGGTCTCTCGAATTATACCATTTTTCCGGTGGCCTTCTCGTTTTCCTATCCTGAACAATTAAGTCAGCAACAAAAACAAGAGTATGGTCTGCCTCCGATGCATTCTTTAGCACTCCAATCTTACAACCACAAAAACAACAACAATGAATAAACACCAAAATTAATCAAACATTTATCTATACAACAGTAAAATAAATATCAACTGAAAAATGATTAAAAACATCAATATATATGTTTTTAATCATATAGACAATACCAATTAAACATTCTAATCAACCTTCATATGCTTTCATTTCCACACAAATTATCATTCCATGTATTTTCATTTAATTATTCTGCAGGTTAATCAGTCTCTACCTATCTATTTTGCTTTTCACCACCCATTAAGTTTAGATAAATGCTAAATAGACTTTAAAAAGTGACTTAAAAACTTGACTTAATGAATCATTACTATTGAAGTCAATGACAAATGTAACAACAAAATTATCAAGTCATATTTTAAAGTTAATTTTTTAAATTTGTGTAACATTGCTCTTAGCTTACAATACATCCATTAATCATCTTTATTGTAAGGAGAATAACGTATTGCCATTAATGCAATAATGGCTATATAAAGAATAATTTAAGCAAAATAATAAAGACAGTTATTAACGGCATGATTTCTCGAATTTGAGTTTTCTACATAGGCATCCATTCACTTCCTGGACTCCTTTAATGCAATCCCTCTGCCTTTATAATTTATACACACACCATGAACTTCTTTGAAACGACTAAAAAACGGGTACATAGTTTGGGGTCTATAAGATTGTATAATTGCATTTGTAGGAGGAAAGAATGACTGAATGAGATACCAAGTGTGTTGTCCGTTGCACTCGATAGTCGAGCCAAAAAAATTGACTCTTATCATTGTAACACTTTATTTGTAACAATGTCCCAGTTTACGTATGCTTTCAATTATAACATAACGTAATGATTGCGTATAGCATACTATCACAAATATTAGTTTCACACATTGTAAGTCTGGGCTTTATTAATGATATTAGTTGCATTTCTAACCTGATCTAGCAACACTTTCTTTTTTTTCTTTTTCTTTTTCTTTTTTTTTTGTTTTTTGGTCTTTTTGGTTATCAGATTCATCTAAGAAAGCTTCTTCGTCCGTGTGATTAAAATCTCCCTTTTGGTTATAAAATGTTAGATCATTAAACTTTTGAATACATGAAATAAAGTATCCTGAATATATATAGAATTTTTTGAAAACATAAAAGGAGATATAAAGTTTGTGAAAATCTAAGTGGACTATAGGTAATTTTAAAATATGAGAAAGGGGGGGGGGGGGGGGGGGGGGGGGGAGGGGGATGTCTCCAAGTAGTTCCATCCCTGCTATCATTTCACCCGTACTGGACTTATAATTCCTTCTCTCTCTTTTTTTTTATTCCAATCCCCCCTTTTCACCATTTTCTTTTCTTAACTTATTATTTTTGAAGTTAGAAAATAAGTTATAGGAATTAATGGATATTAAAAACTGATTTAAAAAACCAAATAAGTGGTGGTAGGTGAGAGGGAATTTATGAGTGGTTATTTCTTGTACTTGGTAGAGTGTGACTAGATAAAATAGTTTACTTTCATTTAAATTATTCAAAAATACAATGAATTAAAGGAAGATGTAGGGAAGACTTGCGAAAGCCTTCTGCTGAAAAAAAAACTGCTATAATAGCATAGATATGGAAAACAATGAGAAGGCTTGTAAAGTCTTTCCTCTCAAATTTTTTCAATTCTAGAAAGTTTGGTTTATTTTAATATTCACTCCAATGACATTACCATGTGATCTCAAGTCTAACCACTCCTCCACTCACTAATAACTACGTATTCAAAAAAATTTCCAACATTAATTAGTATCACCTTAACTACCGTTTGGTAGTATTCAAACATCGCTATCCTAGGGAAAGTCTCGACGAGCTAAAAAAGACGTAATACTTTCTATAGGGCTTTGAAAAACCCTACACCCCTAAGATCTAAACAAATCATCTTGATCCTTCCTATTCAACTTACACATTAGTGAAGAAGATCTTGCATGGTGAGAGAAAAAATCCACTTTGGGGTGTGCATTCCAAAAGTCTTGGGTGTGAAGCCTTGAAGATTGCTCGGGGGGGGGGGGGGGGGGGGCTACACGGTTAATTGTGGTGAGCACATCCAAGTGAAGCTACTCAAGACTTCAGTGGGTGATATCTGGAGGAGAGATTTATAATGGAAAAAGAGCATCTAGAAATGAGAAGTGGTTGGGGCATAAGTCTCAAGTTTGTGTAAATTGACTTTGAGAACATTGGATTAGACTCTTGATGAACCCTAAGTGATCCCCCACAGTTTTTTTTTTCTTGAAGGATTTTCGTGTCAACAAATTACTTGTGTTGTCGATATTTTTGTTGATTACTTTAATTTCACACGTGCATGCGCACACACAATGTTTGATAACTTTCCATTTTTCATCGATTAGGATTTTGTGTACATAGACTTTTGGTATGGGATCATTGTCGTGGTAAGTTAGGAGGAAAATGAAACAATTTTTTGTTAAATATAAGGAAAAAGGTAGTTTGTACCTCGGAAGATTAAAAAGTTCTCAATTTGCACCCTCAAAGGTCAATTGTTTTAAATTATATCCTCAATTAAATTAATTGATAGCAATGTGACCCCAGTCATAACATCTGTTGCAATTTTCATCAAATTAACAACCACGTGAGGCGTACGTGAAAATGGAAAAGGTCATAATCTAACAAATGTCATCGCGTACATTTCACGTGGTTGTTAATTTGATGAAAATGGTAACAAACGTAATGGTTAGAATTACATTGCTTCTAATTACTTTAATTGAGGGTGCAATTTAAAATAATTGATCTTTAAGAGTGCAAATTGGGATTTTTTTAATCTTTTGGGGTGCAAACTGCTATTTTCCCTTATATATATTAAGGAACTAATCATATATTTGGGGGTTGCCATGTGAAAAATATGATAATTGTGTTGACGATTGGTCTTAATGTTTTTGGGAATATTTGGTGTTATCATCTTTGGTCCAACAAATTCGACGTTGCTCACAAAGATGTTTGAGGAAATGCCTGACATCTTTTTTTGGTCTAAAGTTGAGTGTTTTCATTGAATTTAACAGGCATTTGATTTTTTTATGGGTTGGTGCTAGGTGGTATTGACAGTTCTGCTGGGAACCATCTCATACCCGCAGTGGGGACTGAGGCATAATAAAATACCATGGAAGGATGAAGAGGAAGAAATGCTAAAGGTACATATTATCCGACACATCTTCCTTTTCAAATTTGTGTGTGGTATGAGCTTACTTTGATCATGAGAATAGGCAAGCGTTGACAAAAGTTTGGCAGATAGTAGAATTTCAATGTTGCAATGAATCCAAAAATCATGTAAAGTCTCTTTTGATTCTCTCTGTTTCCGACCAAATAGTGCAAAACAGAGAAGGATCTTAAATAAGAAGCTTCCTGAGGTTAATGAACTGTTGATTATTTGTTCAATTCCGCAATTCAAGTTAAATTTGAGAAAAAGGTGTGTGATCAGTGATGAGTTAGGCCTGATGGATTTTGCATTAAATTTGGGCTTGGAACTAAATCTCCGACCTTCCAATGTGCTTATTTAAGAAACAATTTGTGTGGGAGCTGGAATTTTTTGCTCCTAATCTTAGAGCTGGAATATAGTGATAAAGAGGTGACCAACCTAATTGTTTAAATTAATTATTTACAGAAGGGCAGGAAGCAAGCAGGGCGAGCCAAGATCTTTTGTTGGAAGGGGCAAAAAAATAAATAAACACCAACTGATGTAAAATATTTATATGTTTAAACATGAGACTTATATTGAGATTCATGATTAGAGTATTAACTTATCAAGAAACAAAAGATATGGGTCATTATATAAATTTTTAAAAACCAAAAAGGGTGGAGAGGGGCAATATACTAATTTGAAGAGAGTCATAACCAGTAGCTATGTCTTTGTTGTAGGTTTTTTACTATATTGCAATGCTTTTATGTTCAACTAATTATTTAAAGAGGGCGTGGAACAGGAGCGGAGCCACCCTCGGGCTAGGGTGGGCAAATGCCCTTCTCAATTTTCTTTTGCTTCATATTAAGAATGTATTTTTTGAATAAAATTTAGACATATTTAATTATATTTACCCTAATATTGTGATCTGGTGATATTGATTTGAATAGACCCTTACGTAAATGATTGTTAACTTTTTGCACAACGTTATTGAAACCTAATTTAAAGATCTAATACATTGCGATATTAAGTATAATAGTGAGTCTTAATATTTAATAAACTCTACTATCTATCCAATTGTCACAAACCATTGGTCTCCATCAATTAAATCTCAAATTAAGTACAACTAATATAATTGTTTACTTTTAGACATGTTCGAATATATTTTGAACATATTGATGTTATTTTATAATTTTTTTATATTGTTGGGTTATTTTGTTATTGTATAAAAATGTATGTTGTTATGTAGTAAACTATAGAATCATAAATGGAAGATTGTTACCGCGATTTTTGTATATCAAAAAAATATTATTGATAAAATTAATTTGTAACTCTTTCAAGTAACAAAAAAATATGAGGGTCAATTGTAAGTAATAATAATTGTTTGCATTCTCGATAAGAAGTTTTAATTATTATTTTTTTATTCATGTTATGTATATCGATTTTTAATCTTCTATGTTTAAAAAATATTAAATATAATTTTAATAAATATAAATTTATGAACTTTTAAGGTGTATTAAAAAAAATTAAAACATGCTAGTGTGCCCATCCTAATTTTTTTTTTTGGCTCTGTCCCTGGCATGGAAGATTAGAGAAAGCTTATATTAGGAATGACAACGAATTCTAAGGCACTTTGTGAGTTGTGATTGCTAACTGGGTATTGACGAACAACTGTATAGTGTACATCTTAGAAAATTTTAAAAGTAATATTATATTATATGAACTTAAAAAGTAGATTTAATCAAGAAAGTCTCCTCAAAAAAATTTCAGCTATAACGGATAAGAACGTCAACAGGAAGGCCATTTCAAAATTTGGAGGATCTCTTAATTGGGTAGGGATTAAAGAGATTTATTGTATTTCAAAATTTGGAGGATCTCTTAATTGGGCAGGGATTTAGGAGATTGA